GAGGAGGGATCCATCGGGGTTCCCCCAGAGGAGGGATCCATCGGGGTTCCCCCAGAAGAGGAGGAGGGATCCATCGGGGTTCCCCCAGAGGAGGAGGAGGGATCCATCGGGGTTCCCCCAGAGGAGGAGGAGGGATCCATCGGGGTTCCCCCAGAGGAGGAGGAGGGATCCATCGGGGTTCCCCCAGAGGAGGAGGAGGGATCCATCGGGGTTCCCCCAGAGGAGGAGGGATCCATCGGGGTTCCCCCAGAGGAGGAGGAGGGATCCATCGGGGTTCCCCCCTACTGACCACCCCTGTAAGGGGGACGGATCTCCTCAATGACTACCAGTGTGGTGTCGCTAATGTCCCAGGAGCTCATTTTGTATCAGAGGTTCCTCTAAGGTGGTTCCATGTCTCCCACACGTATGACGTATGACTGCTGCTTGGGGACCCAATACAAGAGACCCAGCACACGGCTGACCCTTCTCCTCCATGTCTGCCATGGAAAGTCTCTCCAGGGATAGAACTCCCCTCCTCAGTACACTGGCACCAAGACACCTACCCCTCCTCAGAACACAGGCACCTACCCCCTCCTCAGTACACTGGCACCAAGACACCTACCCCTCCTCAGTACACTGGCACCTACCCCCTCCTCAGTACACTGGCACCATGACACCTACCCCTCCTCAGTACACTGGCACCATGACACCTACCCCCTCCTCAGTACACTGGCACCATGACACCTACCCCTCCTCAGTACACTGGCACCAAGACACCTACCCCTCCTCAGAACACAGGCACCTACCCCCTCCTCAGTACACTGGCACCATGACACCTACCCCTTCCTCAGTACACTGGCACCATGGCACCTACCCCTTCCTCAGTACACTGGCACCATGGCACCTACCCCTTCCTCAGTACACTGGCACCATGGCACCTACCCCTTCCTCAGTACACTGGCACCATGGCACCTACCCCTTCCTCAGTACACTGGCACCATGGCACCTACCCCTTCCTCAGTACACTGGCACCATGGCACCTACCCCTTCCTCAGTACACTGGCACCATGGCACCTACCCCTTCCTCAGTACACTGGCACCATGGCACCTACCCCTTCCTCAGTACACTGGCACCATGGCACCTACCCCTTCCTCAGTACACTGGCACCATGGCACCTACCCCTTCCTCAGTACACTGGCACCATGGCACCTACCCCTTCCTCAGTACACTGGCACCATGGCACCTACCCCTTCCTCAGTACACTGGCACCATGGCACCTACCCCTTCCTCAGTACACTGGCACCATGGCACCTACCCCTTCCTCAGTACACTGGCACCATGGCACCTACCCCTTCCTCAGTACACTGGCACCATGGCACCTACCCCTTCCTCAGTACACTGGCACCATGGCACCTACCCCTTCCTCAGTACACTGGCACCATGGCACCTACCCCTTCCTCAGTACACTGGCACCATGGCACCTACCCCTTCCTCAGTACACTGGCACCATGGCACCTACCCCTTCCTCAGTACACTGGCACCATGGCACCTACCCCTTCCTCAGTACACTGGCACCATGGCACCTACCCCTTCCTCAGTACACTGGCACCATGGCACCTACCCCTTCCTCAGTACACTGGCACCATGGCACCTACCCCTTCCTCAGTACACTGGCACCATGGCACCTACCCCTTCCTCAGTACACTGGCACCATGGCACCTACCCCTTCCTCAGTACACTGGCACCATGGCACCTACCCCTTCCTCAGTACACTGGCACCATGGCACCTACCCCTTCCTCAGTACACTGGCACCATGGCACCTACCCCTTCCTCAGTACACTGGCACCATGGCACCTACCCCTTCCTCAGTACACTGGCACCATGGCACCTACCCCTTCCTCAGTACACTGGCACCATGGCACCTACCCCTTCCTCAGTACACTGGCACCATGGCACCTACCCCTTCCTCAGTACACTGGCACCATGGCACCTACCCCTTCCTCAGTACACTGGCACCATGGCACCTACCCCTTCCTCAGTACACTGGCACCATGGCACCTACCCCTTCCTCAGTACACTGGCACCATGGCACCTACCCCTTCCTCAGTACACTGGCACCATGGCACCTACCCCTTCCTCAGTACACTGGCACCATGGCACCTACCCCTTCCTCAGTACACTGGCACCATGGCACCTACCCCTTCCTCAGTACACTGGCACCATGGCACCTACCCCTTCCTCAGTACACTGGCACCATGGCACCTACCCCTTCCTCAGTACACTGGCACCATGGCACCTACCCCTTCCTCAGTACACTGGCACCATGGCACCTACCCCTTCCTCAGTACACTGGCACCATGGCACCTACCCCTTCCTCAGTACACTGGCACCATGGCACCTACCCCTTCCTCAGTACACTGGCACCATGGCACCTACCCCTTCCTCAGTACACTGGCACCATGGCACCTACCCCTTCCTCAGTACACTGGCACCATGGCACCTACCCCTTCCTCAGTACACTGGCACCATGGCACCTACCCCTTCCTCAGTACACTGGCACCATGGCACCTACCCCTTCCTCAGTACACTGGCACCATGGCACCTACCCCTTCCTCAGTACACTGGCACCATGGCACCTACCCCTTCCTCAGTACACTGGCACCATGGCACCTACCCCTTCCTCAGTACACTGGCACCATGGCACCTACCCCTTCCTCAGTACACTGGCACCATGGCACCTACCCCTTCCTCAGTACACTGGCACCATGGCACCTACCCCTTCCTCAGTACACTGGCACCATGGCACCTACCCCTTCCTCAGTACACTGGCACCATGGCACCTACCCCTTCCTCAGTACACTGGCACCATGGCACCTACCCCTTCCTCAGTACACTGGCACCATGGCACCTACCCCTTCCTCAGTACACTGGCACCATGGCACCTACCCCTTCCTCAGTACACTGGCACCATGGCACCTACCCCTTCCTCAGTACACTGGCACCATGGCACCTACCCCTTCCTCAGTACACTGGCACCATGGCACCTACCCCTTCCTCAGTACACTGGCACCATGGCACCTACCCCTTCCTCAGTACACTGGCACCATGGCACCTACCCCTTCCTCAGTACACTGGCACCATGGCACCTACCCCTTCCTCAGTACACTGGCACCATGGCACCTACCCCTTCCTCAGTACACTGGCACCATGGCACCTACCCCTTCCTCAGTACACTGGCACCATGGCACCTACCCCTTCCTCAGTACACTGGCACCATGGCACCTACCCCTTCCTCAGTACACTGGCACCATGGCACCTACCCCTTCCTCAGTACACTGGCACCATGGCACCTACCCCTTCCTCAGTACACTGGCACCATGGCACCTACCCCTTCCTCAGTACACTGGCACCATGGCACCTACCCCTTCCTCAGTACACTGGCACCATGGCACCTACCCCTTCCTCAGTACACTGGCACCATGGCACCTACCCCTTCCTCAGTACACTGGCACCATGACACCTACCTCCACCTTCTTCTCTGGTTGGATCAGCTCCCGTTCATTCAGACAGCGGAAGGTGGGGGGGTGCTGGATATTTGGGAGGTCCTCACACGTCCACAGGAAGTAGAACGGACTGTTGGTGGGATTCACAATGCTGAAGCTCCTAATAAAATACAATAAAACAATCGGTCGCATTCATACAAATGTGTTAGGGGGGAGGGGCTGCCACTTCTCGGTGCTTCTGGGTACCTGACATTTGTGGTCCTGACCCCCACGGAGGTGAACTCCACAACTCGGGTGCTTGGATCCAAAGTGGTCCCTGAAGGGGCTCCGTGGGGGCCGCATAGCTCGGGGTTGCGCCTCCCGCTGCTGATGTAGTCAGAGTCCTCCAGCTGGAAGTGGCAGGAAGGCAGCAGGCTGCGGCCTCTGACCGGGAGACGCGGCTCCACCTGGCCGGGTAACAGGTTGGGGATGCTGGAAGACAGGAAGACATCGTTCCAGAAGCATCATCTCATCACATGTAACACAATGACAACTCCACGGACAGGCCCGGCGCTACCA